TCACTAGTCCAAGTGATCAATTTCAGTTCACAACTGATCACACTGATAGGTCTAAGAGTCAAAGGGATCACACAAAAAAGACTAGTGTCTGTGAATACTGATAGAATAAAAAAAGGAGAGAATGATCCAACATGGGAAGTGGGATACACAGCAGACTCATAGAATGGCAGATGTCCTAAACAGCACTCTGACCTCAGAATCAGCCCTTAAGGCATTCAGATCTGGCTGAAGAGCCCATGAGAGTATTTTAGACGTGGAAAGCCAAGACACTCTGGCAAAAAACAAACAAACAAACAAACAAACAAAAACACCCTAAATGAAAGATCTCTGTGAGTGAGATCCCAGTAGAAAGAATGGGCCATCAAAGGAGGAGGTAACTTTCTCTGGAGGGAGGAGAGAACTTTCACTTTGACTATGACCTTATCTAAATAAGATCGAAGTCAGCGAACTCAAGAGGCTTCCATAGCCTTGGAAACTCATTACTAGAGCCTAGGGAGATTTCTGACGCCATAAACAAGAGTGTCAAATTGTTAAGTCAACAACAGGAGTCACTGTGTACTTATTTCTCATGTGGGATCTCTGTCCTTAATGTGTTGTCCAATGTGAAGTAATGCTATAACTAGTACTCAAACAGTATTTTCGTTTATTTATTTATTTTTTTATTTTTATTTTTTTTATTTTTGACAGGCAGAGTGGACAGTGAGAGAGAGAGACAGAGAGGGAAAGGTCTTCCTTTGCCGTTGGTTCACCCTCCAATGGCCGCCGCTGCAGCCGGCGCACCGCGCTGATCCGATGGCAGGAGCCAGGAGCCAGGTGCTTTTCCTGGTCTCCCATGGGGTGCAGGGCCCAAGCACCTGGGCCATCCTCCACTGCACTCCCTGGCCATAGCAGAGAGCTGGCCTGGAAGAGGGGCAACCGGGACAGAATCCGGCGCCCCAACCGGGACTAGAACCCGGTGTGCCGGCGCCGCAAGGTGGAGGATTAGCCTATTGAGCCACGGCGCCGGCTCCTCAAACAGTATTTTACACTTTGTGTTCTGTGTGGTGCAAACTGATGAAATCTTTACTTAATATATACTAAATCGATCTTCTGTATATAAAGATAATTGAAAATGAATCTTGATGTGAATGGAATGGGAGAGGGAGCGGGAGATGGGAGGGGTGCGGGTGGGAAGGAAAAGCCATTGTAATCCATAAACTGTACTTTGGAAAATTATATTTACTAAATAGAAGTGTTTATAAAAAAAAGGAGTTTGAAAACCATTGGTGATATCATTAATTTCAGACTGTTGGTCTGAAATCAAATCTGTGTTTATCTGTCAGCTATCCATGAATTCATCTAAGCCCACTTGGAAGCAGTGGATAGCGTGGAACTGCAAAAACTCAGAGTATCTAGTTCCATTGTATTTACTACTATTACATACACATGCATTTTTTTTCAAATTTTATCTACTTTGTAGTCTAGCTTTCAGAGTTTTAGTCTAGTTTTGTGATATATGTTGATAATCTCAGTATTTCATTTTTCCTCCCACAAAACAAGTCATCACTTTATTCTTTTCTGTTTTTAGAGTTAAAATACCAACCCTGGGGCTGGTGCTGTGGCATAGCAGGTAAAGCTGCTGCCTTCAGTGCTGGTATCTCATATGGGCGCTAGTTTCAGACCCAGCTGCTCCACGTCTGATCCAGCTCTCTGCTGTGGACTGGGAAAGCAGTAGAGGATGGCACAAGTCCTTGACCTCTACACCTACGTGGGAGACCCAGAAGAAGCTCCTGACTCCTGGCTTCAGATCGACACAGCTCTGGCTGTTGTGGCCATTTGGGGAGTGAACCAGCGGATGTAAGACCTCTCTCTCTCTCTCTCTCTCTCTCTCTCTCTCTCTGCCTCTCTTTCTCTTTCTGTGTAACTCCAACTTTCAAATAATTAAATAAATATTAAAAAAAAAACCAACCCTAAGAGATCAGAAGGGTCTAACTGTGGATAAGCATATTCTTGACCAAAAAGGACTCCAACAGAAATACTGCAATGCCATGTTAAGTGAATAAAGTGAAATACAGAGGATGACACCGATTTTGTTTACAAAATTTCCTGTGCTTCTATGAATAGGAGTGTGGAAAGACGTGTACTGACGTAACAACACTGGCTAAGGTGTAGTTTGAAAGTTCTGTGTGGGACTTGACCTCCTCAAAATAGCTTAGAGAATGAACTAGAACGACTTCTTCAGAAAACTATTCTCCAGGTTAAAACTCAGGTTGAAACTGTTCTTTGAGATAACCACTGGCTCACTCCCTACATGCGTGCCACCTTCTGGAAATGAGGAGTATTTCACCATAAAGAGTTCCCTAACAATAGAACTGGGTCATTAAGCCCTCCTTGGAACTGTTTACATAAACCATTTTTAAAGTTAACATTTCATTTTGATCCTTATAGATAGACCACAGTCAGGGTTGTCAGACCAGAAGAGGAGCTAATTTAATGTAATCAAAGATGACAGGTTCTGTACTTGTTCTCAATAAGTTGGTCATAGAAAAAAATTATCTTTAAGTGACAAGCCATTCAAAAGTAAGACTTACAGAAGAGGAAAATTTAAAAAATATATTGCAATCTCTGTATAGCCAAAAAATGATGAACAATTTCATTACTGTTCCCCACCCCAACCAGAGTTATGAAATGTTGAAATAATGTTTTTACTCTCAAGCAATGTGTATATCCAGAAATGAGAATTCCGTTTGGTCTATGAATCAATACAGCCGTGCCTCCGAAACACACGAAGGAAGAGAACATTGCACTGTTACATTTAGGGTGTGATAAAGCACCCACATAAAGTGAGTCTAAACATAAAGCAACGGAGTGCACAGAAATGGGTGTAGTGGTGGAGAACGGTGTGCAAGTCTAGCTGGGAGGGTCACCATCGCAGAAAAACGAGAGAAAAGCAGAGTGGCCTGGAAGTCCAAGGGACGTCTCTGTTTTTTTTTTGTTGTTGTTGTTGTTGGTTTTTTTTTGGAAACTGAATTTATAACTTCAGTGATTTACCACTATGTGAAAATGCAAAAGTAAGGAACTGTCACGTCCCAAGCTAAAAATAAATCCAAACAGCCCTCACTGCCACAATAACACTCCATGACACAGTTGTAACTGCTAGCATTTTGTGATAGAGCACGTGGAATAGATATTTCTTATAAACAATACCTGGCAGCAGTGAACCCTGTGGTCTGGTCTTCTGTGTCGCAGTCCTGTGTATGGGCATGTATATCGCCAACCCATCACAAAGTACTCAGAAAATGCACTGCTCTGGTTCGTTAAAGTGCTTTTAATTAGAGTTTCCTCATGGATAGCAGAGCTTGGTTCAGTTAATTGTCTGACATTAATAATTTAAAGATATTAATGCTCGTGACCTACAGGAATGAGGTCCCATGGCAGATGTAAAGATTCTTTCTAGAGAAGCTAATTTGAGATAATTTAGCAGAAGGCCTCTCTCAAGGGACTTTTAAAGGGCTGTATTAATTCCAAGTGGGCATCAATTCATGGTCAATATTGAATGCCTATTATTTGAAGGCTCAGTGTGGTCTAAAGCAGGCAGACTTGGCCTCAGATGTGAAACTGAGAGGCAGGGGTAATATTAGAGGCAGTCATGTCTGCGGTAGTTTATAGTCTGGTCCCAGAAATTGAACATTCTCACTGCACCACTCACTGGCCATGTGTGCGCCAAGGGGATACGTAATGCCTGCTGCACAGAGCTGTCGGCCGGGGAAATGAGGTCGTTATGTAAGGCTCGTGGCAGTGCTGGCACATAGTAACTACTCAGTTAGTATTATCTCCTGTTCATATTTTTTTCCTGAGTCTTAAGTGTCAAGATGATTTCCTTAGAATTAAGAGAGAGAGAGAGAGAGAGAGAGAGAGAGAGAGAGAGAGAGAGAGGTTGAAAAGGCTTTTGAAGTTATCTGGTTACCATCACTGTCCTGGGAGATGACTTTCATCCCTTTCCCACTGATATTTAAAACCAGGGAATAAATAATCCTAGTTGGCCCATGCTGGTGACTGATGGGATAACAGGAAATGAAATGAGAGGACAGCAAGCCCAACGGAGGACGTAGAGAGAGAGACTGGTGGGAGAGCAAGAGGAGCACAGGCTAAATGGAGAAAATAGATGGAAGAGTAGTAGGAAAACAGGAGAAAAAAAAGAAAACCAGAAAAGATGACCTCAGATGAGTGTCAGGAGGAAAGCCAGGGAAAGGAAGGGGTTGGGGGATGCAGAGGAATCGCATTAATCAGCGCGGGCCAGCGTTCCGGGTTCTGATCCTAGTGAGATGCGTGCTGACCAGAGGACGCAGTGTAACCTCTCTGAACCCGGTTTTCTCTGGAGTTTGTAGTGCAGCTGAGACGAGATTAGTGCATGGACGCTCTGTGAAAGAGAAAGCGCTATTGCAAGAAGGGGAGGAAAGGAGGGAACTGGAAAATAGGAAGGAGGAGGGAAAGGGGGGAGGGAGGAAGGGACGGTGAGAGCGAGAGAGGAAAGAAATCGTCGACGGGCGGGTGGGAAGCGATGGAGACAAAGCGGATGCGCCCAGGCGCCCAGGCGATCGCTCTACCAGGGCAGCTTGCCAGGCACGCAATCCCTGCGTGATATCCCCGCAGCGTCTCTACGGGGCCAAGACCATCTCTAGATGCTTCAGGTGTAGCATTATTCTCACTGTAGCATAAGGAGGTGTTGTAACTTGGCCGAGCAAGTTACATCTGGGAAGTGGCTGAGATGGGATTCAAGCGCGCACCTGTCTCCTTGCCCAGCCAGCGCTGTTAAAATCATCTCTAAGAAGCTGGATAGCGGTTTGGCGGGTCTAAGACGGATTCTGGCGTTTCTTCCAAGTCTTCCTTCGAGGAAGCTCCAGCGCCCAGGCACCATTCGCCACGCCTCTGGCTCTTCCCGGCTGCTTTGAAAGCTCCACCTCGCCACTACAAGCGTCCCGTCTCCATGGAGATCGACGTGGGGCGGAACTTCCCGCCTCACGCACGCGCACTTCCGCCTTGTGCCGGAAGCACCGTGGCTAACGGAAGGGATCTCCGAGTGTGGGGACTTCTTGGAGAGTTTTGTGCCGCGGGACTGCGGCGGCCGTAGGCGGATGCGATGCTGACCCCCGCGTTCGATCTCAGCCAGGACGCTGACTTCCTGACCGTCGCCATCCGCGTGCCGTACGTCCGAGTCTCCGAGTTCGACGTCTACTTTGAGGGGGTGGACTTCAAGTTCTACGCCAAGCCGTACTTTCTCAGGTGAGTTCCGGGGGTCAACGTGGGACGAGCGTATTGGGGGCATTCGTGAGCTAAGCGCCTATGGAGAGGGGTGAGAGAGCAGGGAAGCAGTTCCCGGAATCTTTCCCCGAGACTTGCCCGTCTCCTTTTGGGGCCGAGGAAGTGACCTGCTGGAGGTGTGCGCTCCAGGTGCTTAGAAGCCCGTTCCCTTCTCCAGCCTTGTTGATCCCCCCGTGAGCGCAATCTCGAAAGCCCTTTGCAGCGTGGCCTTTGGGCCGGGGACGTTTCCAGCTTCTGTGAAGTTGCCCTCCCAGACTTGCTCTGCCCCCTCCTTGCGCTTCGCCTTCGCTCTCCCCCTTCCCCGGCGGCGCGCGCGTGCTCGCTCGCATCTTTTCGATGACTTCCCAACCTTTTGGTCCTTTTGTTTTCTCCCAGCCCGCCTTCTGTGTACCGACCTTTATCTTGGCTGCCCGCTCCCTGCTTTCTCAAATTCTCACCTTAGCCGGCTCTGAGTCCGCGCTAGCCTCGTTCTCCTGCCTCCCCCGCTGCCCGCCTCCGCAGTCCTGCGTTTTGCCGGTTCGTTGCGGTAATTTCCTTCGGGTCTCTTTGAGCAGCCCTCAGCTTGTGTCACTTTAGATTTCTCTTCTTGCAGCGCCGTAACGACAGCGGCAACAGCTAGAGCTGATGCCGTTCCGTGTGGTGGGCAAGCAGTGCCTTCGCTTGTGTTAACGTTGACAGCGATCCTTGGGGGTGGACACTGTGGTTCTCCCCATTCTGTAACGGACGCTGCCAGGGGTTCTAAAATGCTACAGCGTGGCAATCCCCTGGGCTCCCCTTTTCTTTTTCCAGTCTTAAGTGTGGCTCCCCTGTGCCTTCCCTGCCTAAGTACTTCTGTATTTTGTAACACAAACCTCCCTCTCCAGGCGAACTAGTTCCTTCACTGCCTAAACCAGTTCTGCTCAAGTTTCCGTTAGATCTCGATTTAATCTCTGTGCCACTGGACGCCTGAACTGTGGAGAGTACCAGACTCTATAGAGTTTTTTTTCCTGTACATACAGATCCATGGTAAAGTTTAATTGGTAAGTTAGGCATGGTCAGAGATTAACAAGAAACAACCAATAATGAAATACAGCACTGTGCTTTCTGATTTCTTTATTCATGTAGTTTATTTATTGGGCTTCCGTGCTGGGATTATAGTGCTGAACAAGATGAACTCCTTCCCTCCTGTAGTGTTTTTTTTTTTTCTTTTTTTACAGGTAGAGTTATAGACGTTGAGAGAGAGAGAGAGAGAAAGGTCTTCCTTCCTTTGGTTCACTCCCCAAATGGCTGCTATGGCCGGCGCTGTGCCGATCTGAAACCAGGAGCCAGGTGCCCCTTCCTGGTCTCCCACGCAGGTGCAAGGGTCCAAGCACTTGGGCCGTCCTCCACTGCCCTCCCGGGCCACAGCAGAGAGCTGGACTGGAAGAGGAGCAACCAGGACTAGAACCCGGCACCCACATGGGATGCTGGTGCTGCTGGCAGAGGATTAACCTACTGCGCCATCCCCCCCCACCCCCAGGTTAAACGTTTACATTGCAGTTGGGGATGGGAGAGAAAAAGGGTGGACAAATGATGCTTCTACAAATCGTGAGTGCTATGAAGGGAAGGAACTGTGCTCACGAGGCATCAAAAGAGGCCCAGGTTTATTTAAAGTGGTCGGAGAAAGTCTCCCTGAGGGTGGCAAGACGAAGAACAGGAAGATGGTGGTGGTGCTAGTAGCACGCATTTACTGAAGTGTTACTGTAGGTTAAGTGTTCCATGTGGGTTAGCGCATTTGATTTAGGAGAGCCCCACAGAGCAGGTTTTATTGCTCACCCATTGCTGTGGACTGCATAGTTGTGTCCCTCCAACATTGAAAGATAGAAGCCCCTATTCCCAATATGATGGTATTTCAGTTTAGATGAATGAAGGCAAGAGTCCCCATTGATGGGGTTAGTGCCCTTGTAAGAAGAGGGAGAGTCCAGGGCCCCTGTCCACCAGGTCAGGATACAGCAAGGAGGTGGTCAGCTGCAAGCCAGGAGGGGTGCCCTCCCCAGGCACTGAACAGGTTGGCAACTTGATCTTCAACTTTCCAGGCTCCAGAAGCATTGAGAAGTCAATGTCAGTTGTTTAAGCCACCCAGCCTGTGGTGTTTCTGTTAGAGCAGCCCAAAGTGACTAAGACTCCTTTGTCACAAAGGAGAGGTCAGAGGCCCAGTTGTTCTTAAGTGTAGACCTTGTTGTCATATACACTAATAAAAATATAAAACGCAATAGGATTGGGAAATAAGCCAATCAGCCCAGTCAAGTAAAAGTGTTAAAGTGAAAACCCCTTTGAAGCCTGTGAGATGATAAGGGCAGAATAAGAGGATACAAGCAAAACAGTGGAAAAGCTTTCTTCCCGCAGATCTGTCCACGCTTCAGGTAGTTGAAGCTTGGGAGTGAGCACTCAGCATGCGTACAGTTCTGTGGCCTCACACAGGTTTCTGGTTGAGTCTGGTAGTCTGTAGCGGGGGACCCATATTAATGATCTTAAGGAGTTGTGTGAGGAGAGGCTTGAGATACTGCATGCAAAGTGCTTATTACCATGGCTGGTGATCACCTGTGTGTCAAAAATGGTAGAAGCAATGGTACCTCTTCTTCAATGGGGACTATATTCCAAGATCCCCTGTAGATGCCTGCAATACAGAACCTTAAGTGTTCTGTTTTTCCTATGCATTGTGGCTATGATAAAGCTCAGTTTACCAATTAGTAGGAGAGTGGCAATAATAACTCAAGTTAGAACACTTCTAGCAGTATACTATACTCTTTTATTTATTTATTTATTTTTTTTGAGAGGCAGAGTGGACAGTGAGAGAGACAGAGAAAGGTCTTCCTTTGCCGTTGGTTCACCCTCCAATGGCTGCTGCGGCCGGTGCGCAGCACACCACGCTGATCCAAAGGCAGGAGCCAGGTGCTTCTCCTGGTCTCCCATGGGGTGCAGGGTCCAAGCACTTGGGCCATCCTCCACTGCACTCCTGGGCCACAGCAGAGAGCTGGCCTGGAAGAGGGGCAACCGGGACAGAATCCGGCGCCCCGACCTGGACTAGAACCCAGTGTACCGGCGCCGCAGGGCGGAGTATTAGCCTAGTGAGCCGTGGCGCCAGCCACTATACTCTTAAGGTATGTGAATATGGTCTCTCTCCCATTGTATTTTTAGACTGCAGTTGACTGGGGTAAACTGAAACCATGGAAAGTGGAACCACAGATAAAGGGGGACTACTGTGCTATTATTGAGGGCTCTCTGCGCCACTTAGCTATGGCTCAGTAACCAGTGAGACTTCATGGTGTAAAAACAACAGCAGTGGTTTCATAATTTGTGACTAAGGAATTTGTGAAGGGCTTGGCAGGGTGTTCCTGCTTGAAGTCTTTAATGCCATCGTGGTCAGGTAGTGACTGGACCTGGAGTATAGAATAGTGAGGCACTGTGGCATAGTGGGTAAAGCCGCCACCTGCAGTGCCGGCATCCCATATGAGCATTGGTTTATGTCCCAGCTGCTCCACTTCTGATCCAGCTCCCTGCTAATGTGCCAGGGAAAGCAGTGGAAGATGGCCCAAGTGCTTGGGCCCCTGCACCCATGTGGGAGACTTTGCTTCATATCAGCCCAGCTCCAGCTTTTGTGGCCATCTGGGGAGTGAACCAGCAGATGGAAGACCTCTCTCTATTTTTCTTGCTTTGTCTCTGCCTCTCTGTAAAACTGCTTTTCAAATAAACGAATAAATGTTTAAAAAAATAAAAAATAAAAAAAGAATAGTGAGCCAAAGCTGGAGGTTAGCGGGGCATCTTTCTTTCTTCATGTGGTCTTCCTGTGTGGTCTTTTTTCTTTTTCAAGGATTTATCTTATTTATTTGAAAGGCAGAGTCACAGAGAGGCAGCGGCAGAGGGGGAGAAAGGTCTTCACCTGCTGGTTCATTCTACAGATGACTGCGAAAGCCAGAGCTGCGCAGATCTGAAGCCAGGAGTCTGGAGCTTCTTCTGGGTTCTTCCAGGTCTCCCACATGGGTGCAGGGGCCCAAGCACTTGGACCATCTTCTCTTGCTTTCCCAGGCCATAGCAGAGAGCTGGATTGGAAGTAGAGCAGCCGGGACTCGAACTGGTGCCCATATGGGATGCTGGCACTGCAGGCTGCAGCTTTACCAGCTGCGCCACAGCGCCACCCCCCACCCCCACCCCCCAATGCAGTCTCCTTATGTGGGCTAGTTTGTGTTTTCTTGGCTGAAGTTTTCAAGATCAGGTATTCTGACCAGCAAGGCAGAATCTGTATCAGCTTTTGGCCTAGCTTCAGGAAGTACCTCATGTTATATCTGCTTTATTGTATTGATCAAAACAGTCCCAGGAGTGTGCTGAATTTCAAAAGCAAGAGACTTAGACCCCATGGTTGAGAGGAGTGATGCCAGCTGGGCAGTCTTTGAAATTACAAACCGCTGCAGTATAGCGAAGATTGCGAAGATGTGGTTCCTCTTTCCTTGAGGAATTGAGAGGTTATCTGGGGAGGCAGATCAGTAGACAAAGATGATTTCACTCCTATGTACCTATATAAAGAGTTGAGGAGAAGAAAGTTGATAATAATAGCTCACTTGTCTGAGTGCTCACCCACTGTCATTTCATTCTCACAGTAACCCTTTGGGAGATATGGTTATTTCTCCCTTTTTAACACATAAAGTAGTATGATTTTTGAAGTGTCTGAAAAAAGATACATAGCTGAGAAGTGGCAGGCTAGGACTTGGTTGAGATACTGACACTACAGGTAGTGTTTGTAACCATGTATCCATGAACAGATTCTTTCTTCTGGGCTGTGAAGGGATTTTGGTTCTGAAGAGGCATAGGGGCTTGAGAAAACACTAGGGCTGAAGGGAGCTAACTTGTGAAGCTCTGGGCCTGTGGGGGCTGCCAGGCTTTCCTGCTTTTTAGTTTTAATCGCATTTAGTAGGAAGCCAGGGGAGGGGCACGGTAGGAAAAAGGATGCAAATTTTAGGTTAGTAAAGATATGGAGTGGGTATGTTGTACTGATGAGTTTACTTAGTTGACATCAGGTAGCTGGAAAAGATTTTTCAAGTAGAAAAATGACAGAGTTCTGTGTTAAAAAAATTCTTTTTGGTGGCAGTTTGATTGAACCAGAGTAAAACTAGGAGCAAGGAAATCAGTTTATTTCCTTTAGAATGAGAGAGAAGGTAATCCCCATATAGTAATTATGAGTTTTGAGGAAAACATTTTTGCTTTGTGCTGCTTTTTTTTTTTTAGTAGTAATTTGTCTGAGGTGAGCAGTTAGTTTTGTTGTTTCTTTATTTCCTTTTCTCTGCCTTTTCCTTTTTTTTTTTTGGGGGGGGGAGAATTAGTAGTATCCTTTCTTTGCCCTGTCAGGCTCCATGCATATAAAAAACTCTGTTACTCACTGAGAAGGGGAAAGTACTGTAACAATAGTGATAACTAATTTGTTGTAGTTTTTGTTTTTCAGTATCTATTTTATTGTTGTCAGAGGTTTTCAAATAGAAAGATAAGTGATTGTTGCTGTGGTGCAGCAGGTTAAAAGCATGGCCCACAGCCTGGCATCCCCCCAGACGGGTGCTGATTGAGTCCTTGCTGCTCCACTTCTGATCCAGCTCCCTGGGAAAGCAGTGGAGGATGGCCCAGGTCCTTGGGCTCCTGCACCCATGTGGGAGACCCAGAGGAAGCTCCTGGCTTTGGCCTGGTCCAGCTGTCTGGCCATTTCGGCCATTTGGGGAGTCAACCTGTGGATGGAAGATTTTCTTTCTGTCTCTCCTCTGTCCCTGTATCACTGCCTTTCCAATAAATAAATAATATGCATCATCAAATAGAAAGAAGAGTCATCTCTAGTTTGTACTTCGTTGGGGAGGGAATCTAAATTTGGTCTATATATGAACGAATGCTGAAGAGTTTCCTTTCTAAATGGTTGATGAATTTTGATGGGTAAACATATACTGTTATGGATGGCCAGCTAGCCTTAAATTATGTTGTGGTATAAGGCCTTAATGAGACTTTGTGTTAAATCTTCAGGTTGACCCTCCCTGGGAGAATTGTAGAAAATGGAAGTGAACAAGGGTCCTATGATGCAGATAAAGGTATTGTCTTCGAAAGTTTTGTTTTTTTCTTTGGATTCTTCATGTTAGAGTGTCTGCACAGTAGTCTTACCACGGGGACCATTGGCAGTCCCACAGGTGCAGTCTGTTCCTGTCACTCTTTCTTTGTATCTTGTTTCTGTTTGTTCTTCAGTTGCTTAAAGTATTTCAAAGTATTCTTCAAAGTAAAGTTAAATACTCCGGTTCTATTTTCTAGAAGAACTTCCCTAACCTTTACAGGTGTTTGAAAGTAATAATTAGAACAGATGGAATTGTTGATTAATGAGATGTGGAAGATTTACACAGCTTTGGAGTAGAATCTTTGTTCTGCAATTTTCAAATTTGAATTTTAATAACTGGCAGGTGAGAGAGAAACTATCCCTGGGTGACGGTTAAAGGCTATTTGCATTTTCTTCTCATGATTGGTAATTCCCTCGTTTCAGCTAGCCATGGCTTTCCCTTTGTCACTGGATCTGGAATAATATTGCCATATATATTCCTGTGTAATTTATTCCATGAATATTTATTGACTACAGTGAACTAGGATAAGGGCAGGTGGGATGAAAAAGTTAAGACAGTGAAGCTCTAACTCATAATGCAGTGTAATTAAATTAACTGTAACAGAACTGCCTTCCTTGGTATTAAGTCTGCTTTTAACTGCAGGCAGGATGCACACTGAAGCAAAATTATTACATTTGAGAAGTACACAGCACGTTAAGAAGGAGATATTTGGATTGAATTGTACTGGATTTGTCGGAATACTATTCAGCCACTGAAAGAAGCAGCATGTTTTAAAAAACATAAGAGAAGTAAATAATGAAATAACTTCATGGGGGCCTAGATGCAGTTGATAAACCCAGCAAAGGAAAGCAAGGAAGCACAGAGATGTAATTCCAGTCTGCCACGGGCAGACTTCAGGGGTACATCATGTGGAATGTAAATAACTACTGCCATTGATTGGTGTTTAGACGTTTCGATTTGGATTTTTAATACCAGTGGGTTAGGGGCTGCAGCAGGTAAAGCCGCTGCCTGTGATGCCGGCATCCCATATGGGAACCAGTACAGTCCTGGCTGCTCCACTTCTGATCCACTTCCCTGCTGTTGTGCCTGGGAAAGCAATGGAAGATGGTGCAAGTGCGTGGGCCCCTGGGAGACCCAGAAGCTCCTGGCCCCTGGCTTCAGATCAGCCTAGCTCTGGCTGTTGGGACATTTGGGGAGTAAACCAACGGATGGAAGTTTCTATCTCTCTCTGTAACTGCCTTTCAAACATATAAATAAATCTTAAAAAAAAAAAAAAAAAGAAATCTGGGTTAAAGTAATACTGTGTCAGACCAAAGCATTCTGTAGCTTGAACAGATTATAGATGTCACAGCTGCTGAAGAACCCTGGTCAAGCCTTTGTCTATCTTGATTTGTAGTCACTAAATCTGATCAGGGTGAAATTTTGGAGTTATATGAAATAGAATTACATTTTAACAAGTATGTGTATTTCTTAGACTTGTTTGTGAAGTTTTTGAAAATATAGTTTGTCTAATCCTAAAACGTATTTCTCTTTTAGGAGTTTTTACCATTCGATTGCCCAAAGAAACGCCTGGCCAGCATTTTGAAGGGCTGAACATGTTAACTGCTCTCCTGGCACCAAGAAAATCCAGGACAGCAAAGCCACTTGTGGAAGAAATAGGTTGGTATATTCCAGTGGTACTTAGAATGCTCTGTGTTTCCAGGGGAAACAGTTTATAGTAAACATGGAATTGGAGAAAATACATCAGGTGACTTGATGTGGAGGTCACGTGATGATTGCTTATTTGATGCTGTTATTAAAATACATAAAGAACCCTACTGAACCAGTAGATCAGTCACATTTTGGAACCAGGTAAAGCAGCTTCTGATCTTGGGTAAAATATTAGCCTCGTGAGCTGAGATCGGAGGTGTACAGTTCAGTGTGTTACGTAAAATGCACACCACCGAGGTCACGAAACAGAACGTTGCCTATCCCCTGGAATCCTACCCTGTGTTTTCCCAATTACTCTTCCCTCTCCTCCTGCAGATAACCGTTATACTCCCTTTTACCTGTATTGAATTGCGTAGGTAATCCATGTAGTATGTATTCTGTTTTTGACTGGCTTCTTTTCACTTGACATTTTTGTGAAACTTTTGTATATTGTAGCTGAGCCCCATTTGTTTTCATTGCTATATAACATTCTGTGGCACGAATGTACTGTACTTATTCATACCTCCTGTTGATGGTCTTTGGGTTGATTCCATTGTTTTGGCTCTCTTGAATAGTGGAGCCATGAATATTCTTGTACATGTCTTAGGGTACACATATTCATGCATTTTTTTCCTGTAGCTTTTCTTCCCCTAGTTGTCACCTAAGAAATCCAGTGCTTTTATAAAAATATTAATACTTAGCACATTTAGGTATTTCAGAGGTTTCTGGGGAAGTTGAAGATGATGATGATGAAGAGTTCGATTGGGAAATTGAACAGACTCCCTATGAAGAGGCATCAGAAAGTCCTTTGAATCCACAGTGCCACTATGGATTTGGGAACTTACGGTCAGGAGTGGTTCACCGATTACAGGTATGTTGTCTTTCTGGTTTATAGGATTTTCCAGTTGGATATGTTAGTTTTGGTTCTGCTTACACTTGGGTTTTGTTTGTTTGTTTAATAAGGCAACAAGTGACGTATTTAGAGTTCATGGCACAACTCCTGCATATAATTTTTAGAGTGCTGTGCATTTCCTCCGCTGTTGTGTCTACTCTTACTGCCCTTACCAGGTGTCCTACTGTCTTCTCTTCTTTCTTAGTGTTTTAGACATGAGGTTACCAAAATAAAAAATAGAACCCCTCTCTTATACTTCCTGTAAAGCAGCTTATTTCATACTTCTGAAAAAAAATTGAGATCCCATACTTACGGCATGATTTCCCTCCATTTTATACCAATGAGGTAGAATGTTCCTGTTGAGAATGAGATTTGGTTTTGATCAAAATGTTCAGTTATTGGTGTACAGTAGGCACTGTTGTCCATTCTTGAGTTTCTGTTCTTGAAGTTGAATATAGTCTCTCATTAATTGGCAGTTGGGCTGAAAAAGAATATCATGGTGGGTGTTTTGTGCAGTGGTTAAGATATCAGAGTGTATCCCATTTCAGAGGGGCTGGGGTTAGATCCCCACTCCACTGCTGATTCCAGCTTTCTGCTAATGTATAACCGGGAGGCAGCAGAAAAGTCTTCCACCACTGGTTCACTCTCCAGATAACCGCAACAGCCAGAGCTGGGCTGATCTGAAGGCAGGAGCCAGGAGCTTCCTCCAGGTCTCCAACATGGTTGTAGGGGTCCAAGCACTTGGGCCATCTTTCACTGCTTTCTCAGGCCATAGCGGAGAGCTGGATCAGAAGAGGAGCAACTGGTGCCACTATGGGATGCTGGTGTCTCAGGCCCACTATACCACAGCGTCAGCCCATGGAGTCTTAATTTTTAATTTGCTTTAGTGAGAGAAACAGGGATGAGCTATTTTTATTACTTGATCCCTGATTGAGCAGAGGATTTTAAACCTGTTTAGAATATAATTTATTATAGTAAGACATTTAGATTTTAAAAATATTTATTTACTTACTTGAAAGGCAAAGTGACATAGCAAGAGAGAGAGACAGAGAGAGATCTTCTGTCCACTGGGTCACTCTCCAAATGTCTGCAATAGCTGGGGTTGGGCCAGGCTGAAGCCAGGATCCAGGAGTTATATCTGGGTCTCCCTGTAAGTTCCAAGAACCCAAGCACTTGGGAAATTACCTGCTGCCTCCCAGGCACATTATCAGGAAGTGGTTCAGATATGGAGGCAGGGGGCTGGCATTGTGGCACAGTGGGTAAAACCACTGCCTGCAATACCTGGCATCCCATATGGGCACTGGTTCAAGTCCTGGCTGCTCCACTTCTGATCCAGCTCATTGCTAACCTGTGTGGGAAAGCAGCAGAAGATGGCCCAGGTGCTTGGGCCCCTGTACCCATGTGAGAGATCCAGAAGAAGCTCCTGACTCCTGGCTTTGGCCTGGCCCAGCACCAGCTCTTGGGGCCATCTGGGAAATGAGCCAGTGGATGGAAGACCTCTTTATTTCTGTGTAACTCTGGCTCTCAAATAAATAAGAAGTGGAGGCAGGACTTGATCCCCGGTACTCTGGTAAGGGATGTGTGCATCCCAAAGTGGTGGCTTAACTCGCTGCACCACCATGCCTGACCCTAATAAAACACATTTGAATCTACCAAGGAAAGGTAAAGGGCCTAGGTTCTCCCCAGTTTTGCTGTTCAGATTTGGGGTGCCAGGCCAATTATTTGTTTCATCTGCTCTTTATAAAATAGGAATGATGGGGCTGGCTGGGTGGATATGGTGGGAAGAATCACTATATTCCTTAAGTTGTACTTAGGAAATTTGTACTCATTAAATAAAAGGTTTCGAGGCTGGCACTGTGGCACAGTGGGTTAACGCCCTGGCCTGAAGTGCCGGTATCCCATATGGGCGCTGGTTCGAGACCCGGCTGCTCCACTTCTGATCCAGTTCTCTGCTATGGCCTGGGAAAGCAGTGGAGGATGGCCCAAGTCCTTGGGCCCCTGCACCTACTTGGGAGACCCCGAGGAGACTCCTGGCTCCTGGCTTCAGATCGGCGCAGCTCCGGCCATTGTGGCCAGTTGGGGAGTGAACCATTGGATAGAAGACCACTCTCTCTGCCTCTCTTCTCTCTGTGTAACTCTGACTTTCAAATAAATAAATAAATCTTAAAAAAAAAAATATGAGGCCGGTGCTGTGGCTCACTTGGTTAATCCTCCACCTGTGGCGCTGGCATCCCATGTGGGCGCTGGTTCTAGTCCTGGTTGCTCCTCTTCCAGACCAGCTCTCTGCTGTGGCCCGGGAAGGCAGTGGAGGATGGCCTAAGTGCTTGGGCCCCGCATCCGCGTGGGAGACCAGGAAGAAGCACCTGGCTCCTGGCTTTGGATCGGCGCAGTGCTGGCCATGGCGGCTATTTGGGGGGTGAACCAACAGAAGGAAGACCTTTCTCTCTGTCTCTCTCACTGTCTATAACTCTGCCTGTCAAATAAATTTTAAAAAATAAAAAATAAAAAAAAGGTTTCTTTGGGGAAAAAACAAAAAGTGAATGGAAAAAAAATAGAAATGAATTTTCTCACCAATTTATACAAGGCTGTTTGAAAATTTAAGGAGATACTGCGTGTGAAAACTCTTTGAAAAGCAAAGAATACTTAAAGACCCTTTTAAAAATATAAAACTAATAAAATAAAAATATTTAAAGGGAATAAGATTCCTGATAGAAAGCAAGATTTGCATTTACATGGGAGTAAATAATGCTGATGAAATATTTCCTTCTAGAAGCTTAGGGTGTTTTTTTAAACTGGATTATGGTCTGTGTCTGTTCTCTGTGTCTGCCCACACTCCCTGCTGACCCTGAGGTAGCTAGAACAGAGTCAGTTTTGTCCACAGCAGAGATTTCAGTGAATGGACTTCAGTCATTTGGCCAAGATCTGGTTTGTGGTCAGACTGTTTGAGGACTGTCAGTTGAAAACTATACTTGAATGGTAGTAAATGCCACACAGGCTAAGTACAGATTCAAAGTGCATTCAGATTCAAAGTGCTTCCTGCAACCACAGAACTTGGTTACTTGATTACTGCCGCTGTTCAGGGAAGGTCCTCTTGAAATTTTCTTCTCTCCTCTGCCCTTCCCCCTTTGCCTTGCCTTTGCCCTTCTCCTTCCCTTCCCTTTCTCCTTTAGGAGGCAGACAGGCAGGCAGGCAGACAGACATGCACACACATACACACACACACAAACAGGGAGGGTGTGGTGGGAGACACAGCTCCCATCCATTGGTTCACTCCCCAAATGCCTGAAGTAGTTGGGGCTGGGTAGGCTGGTTTAGGCCAAAGCCAGGAGCCAGGAACTCAATCCAAGTCTCCCATGTGGGTGGCAGGGACCCAATTACTTGCCATCACCTGTGACCTCCCAGAGTCTGCATTAGCAGTAACCTGGAAGTGGAAGCCAGAACTGGAAATTGAACCCAGGCACTCTGATACGTAGGCATTTTAACTGGTGACCCAATTGCTAGTCCAAATGCCAGACCTCTTCCTCTTGAGGAATTTTGACAAGTTTTTGAGGAGTGCCTTAATATAAGCCTGGACCAAGTCCCTTTTAGGTTAGAACTTAGTATATCTATTGAAAATTACTGAGTAAGTAATTTAGGGGGCTGGCATTTTGGCACAGTGGGTTAAGCCACTGCTTGTAATGCTGGCATCCGGTATTGGAGTGCCAGTTCATGTCCCAGCTGCTCAGCTTCCAATTCAGCTTCCTGCTGATGTACCTGGGAAGGCAGCAGAATATGGCCCAAGTCCTTGGGCCCCTGCTGCCACGTGGGGTGCCCAGAGGAAGTATGGACTCCCGGCTTCAGCCTGGCCTAGGCCTGGCTATTGTGGCCATTTGCAAAGTGAACCAGCAAGTAGAAGATCTCTGTCTCTCCCTCTCTCTATGTCACTCTGCCTTTCAAATTAAAAATAACTAAATAAATCGTTCTAAAAAGTAATTTAGGTTAGTTTAAAATAAAAGCTATTATGGGATAGAAATCATTTTAAGTATGTTAGCTAATATATCAGATACCTTGGTAGCTGTTCCCCAGCTTAAGAAGAAAACCATTACCGCAGTTGAAGCCCCTGGTCTCTTCCTTCCTGACTACATCCCTGTGTTTCCCCCATCAGAAAGGAACGGCTGAATTTAATGTTTATCACCCTCAAGCACTACCTTGACTGTCTAAACTCATTAAACTCTTACTCAGAAAGTTTAACTGCGTGAGCGTTGCTCTTCCTAACAGTTTGCATGCATATTCTCTCACTATATGCTGAGGATGTGAGAGAAAGCTTTGTAATGTACATAGTATCCCACTAGCAGTACTGGTTTCTAACCCCTTTGGTGTAGTGCTGAGATCTTCCAAAGTTTTGAAAACTAAGTTTTTTAACATTTTTATTTGGTGGCAAAACTTGACCTGCCCTGATGTGTAGCTTTTAACAGTTATTTTAAAAATCCCACTTAGTGTGCAAATTAAAAATGTCACTGTAGGCCGGCGCCGCGGCTCACTAGGCTAATCCTCCGCCTTGCAGTGCCGGTACACCGGGTTCTAGTCCCGGTCGGGGCGCCGGATTCTGTCCCGGTTGCCCCTCTTCCAGGCCAGCTCTCTGCTGTGGCCTGGGAAGGCAGTGGAGGATGGCCCAAGTGCTTGGACCCTGCACCCCATGGGAGACCAGGATAAGTACCTGGCTCCTGCCATCGGATCAGCGTGGTGCGCTGGCCGCAGCACGCTGGCTGCGGTGGCCATTGGAGGGTGAACCAATGGCAAAAAAGGAAGGAAGAGCTTTCTCTCTGTCTCTCTCTCTCTCACTGTCCACTCTGCCTGTCAAAAAAAAAAAAAAAGTCACTGTAGAAATAGTAGATTTGGATATGGGGTCCTGCCCTGGACTTCATAGGAGGCTTAAAGAAAATGTGGGCACTGTATTACCTTTCTAAGCTCTCAGAGTCCCAGTCCTGTAACTCCCCTGG